AAAAAAAAAAAAAAGATGGGTGTCTATGTGTGTGTGTGGAATACTACTCAGCCATCAAAAAAATGAAATCTTGCCATTTGCAATGACATGGATGGAACTAGAGGGTATTATGCTAAGCAAAATAAGTCAGAGAAAGACAATGATCATATGATCTCACTTGTGAAATTTAAGAAACAAACCAGGATCATAGGGGAAGAGAGGAAAAAATAAGACAAAATCAAAGAGGGAGACAAACCTTAAGAGACTCTTAATCATAGGAAACAAACGGTTGCTGGAGGGGGAGGTGGGTGGGGGATGGGATAACTGGGTGATAACATTAAGAAGGGGAGCCTGGGTGGCTCAGTTCGTTAAGCGACTGCCTTCGGCTCAGGTCATGATCCCAGGGTCCTGAGGTGGAGCCCCGCATCGGGCTCCCTGCTTCTCCCTCTCCCTCTACTGTTCACTCTGCTTGTGCTCGCTCTCTCTCAAATAAAATCTTAGAAAAGAAAGAATGCTCCTGTTTCCTGACCAGCGTCTCTACTCTTGCTTGAAAGACAGCAACATAGCAAATTCAGCCAATTCACAGGAGCAAACTTTCTTATCCAGTATCTCGGCCTTAAAGCTACAGGGGAGGGGGGCGCCTGGGTGGCTCAGTTGGTTAAGCGACTGCCTTTGGCTCGGGTCATAATCCCAGAGTCCCGGGATCGAGTTCCGCATCCCGCTCCCCGCTCAGCAGGGTGTCTGCTTCTCCCTTGGACCCTCCCCCCCTCTCGTGCTCTCCCCATCTCATTCCCCCTAAAAAAAAATCTTAAAAAAAAAAAAAAAAAAGCTACAGGGGAGGTTGAAAAGTGAACATCTCAAAATTTTAGTCTCCACACAGACTGACTTTCCCTCATTAGGGAATTCACAAAGCCCACAAGAGGTTACAAAGGCTCAACATCTTAAAAAAAAAAAAAAAAGTGTCTACATTTATACATTTATCTATAAGGCCTTGTCATCCACAGCCATATGATCCCTTTCTTTGCTGTCATCCTTTCCCCACCCAGAAAGAACCCCTCTTCTAGTCCAAAGATCCTTTACAGCTCTGAAGAGACAAAACTGTTAACTTTAAAATGTGAGTAAACTGTATATTTGAAATCCCCAAACTGCAAACCTCTTCAACCTATTTTATGCGATTGAAATGGAATGAGAATTTTAGATCAGGTAGGCCAGAGAATAAAATTTGCCAAATTAAAACATTTCCTAGGTAGTGGCATATTAATTGCAATAACATTATTTATATGAGACTCAGAACAACACAGTGTTGTTTTCACATAGATTATATCCTATAATTTATAGCAAGGCTAAGCAAGATTAATTTATCCAATGCCATTCTAAAACTGGCAAGTGAAAGAGCCAGGATCCATATCAGGCTCACCTCAGTGCCCTTGCTTTTAGCCACTTGGTGATCTGTCTTTAGTAAAGGAAATGCATACATAAAAGTTTAGGGCGCCTGGGTGGCTCAGTCGGTTAAGCGGCTGCCTTCAGCTCAGGTCATGATCCCAGCGTCCTGGGATCGAGCCCCACATCAGGCTCTCTGCTCAGCAGGGAGTCTGCTTCTCCCTCTCCCTCTGCTCTAATAAATAAAATCTTAAAAAAAAAAAGTTTAATTGTAAACTTGACCAAAGGCAGTCCCATAGAAAATTCTGGTACAGATTACAAAATTATGGTTAACCACTGGTCTACCATACATTTTCTATCTGAAACCCTTTGAACTAGTATACTTTATACTCGATAATTATCTATGCAGATGCAGAAAGCACTTCCAGCTTCATTTCCATTTTCTACCACCAAGAATTTCCCAGAACACAGTTTTTGACTGATAGCAAAATCATTGCAAACTACACCACCAGCATTCTGGGGACTTTATGTTGGACGGGACCAGTCATCTCACCATAATTATGGGGCCCCCTCCACTATGCCTGGTATCCCAAGTCTCACACAGCTCTGGTTCATTTTCTGTAGAAAACTCACTGCCCCTCTCCTGCTGGATCAGTGGATAGTGATCTGGTGGTAAAGGAATGTTTCTGTGGGTCCAAACACTCCTTAGACACACCATTAACCTATCTCATTTTCACACCCATTTTACACACTCGTCTTTCCAGTAAGTCAAAGTCTCCAGTTGTTAAGGCTTTTGTGATGTTTTTGATCTTGTTTCATCCTAAATCAGTTACCATCAACTGTTCATCATCTGTGTGTAAACACCTACCTTCCCAAGGTGTTGACAACTAACATCTATTATCTATCTCAACAATCCTTGCCTTTGACCTGTCAAATTTATTCATTGAAAAAACAAAATTATTCCTTTGGCATCATCTTAATGGGGTTTGGTTTAAACTGGGCCATTTACATTTTAATCCAAAGACTAAAGAGAAAAAGTACATTTTTAGCAAATATCTTTTGCCAACTCAGTAGTACCTCCTTCAGTGTATTTTTATTACTGGTCACCAAATAAAATTTAGCCATCTTATTTTTTGCTAAGAGATTAATTTAGTGTAACAGAGTAGCATACTTTCATCTTTACCTTAGGAATTGCCTGCTAAATTTTGTCTAGGCCCATAATAGGTATTTTTGTCTCCCCAAAACTCATGTTTAAGCCCTACCCTGAGTACCTCAGAATGTGGCTGTATTTGGAAGTAGGGTATTTAAAAAGTTAATCTGAATTAAATGAGGTCACTGAGGTTGGGCCCTGATCTGATATGACTGGTGTTCTCAGACACACACATGCACAGGGGAACAACATCTGAACACAAAAGGAGAAAATGCCATCTACAAGCCAAGGACAGAGGCTTCTAAAGAAACACCACCACCTTTGATCTTGGATTTCCAGCCTCCAGAACTG